ACAGTGTGACTTCAGGAACAAGCAGAATAGCCATATAGCTCTTTTAAGAACAAGAGCATTGTTCACACATCTTTCACTGAAGCCAGGGACTACAGGGCATTTGTGGAACTTGGAAGTGTGATTGTGCAGAGGGAAGTGAGTTGTGTAACTGTCAGACTGTGACTGTCCTGTAATTGTTCTGTTCTTTCCTTTAAGTTGGGGCATCGATGTTTTACCAAGAGAGCGAGTTTTCAACAGTTTAGACTAAGAACAAACAAAAGCTTTCTTCAAATAAACTCTTGCAAAGTTCAAGTGGGGTTTATAATAAAAGTATTAAATGTTGGCACAAAGAAATCTCAATATTGATATTGAACAGGGCAAGTCTGCCGGGCTGGTAAGGTTTTGCATTTCAGTACAAAAACATCCTAATGCAAAACATCCTAATTGCTTATACTTATACTCGTATGCTCATACAGAAACATGGGGCATAGTAAAGCCATTTATTCACACAACACCATTTTACAGACAAGTAGCAACAAACATATCTTAAATCATTACTGGTAATGTTTTTAATGATGGTAATTATGAAGACTTTACACACAGATACTACAAAGGCAGTAAGGTTGAAGTTGCATCTTTATACTAATTAATTAGGAGGACAAACCTTTACCAGTGTAAACTTCAGTATAATCCTAAAGATTTTTACTTTAAGTAATCTGATTACATGAAAATGGAATGCAAAATGTTAAATCTAATGGTATCTGGTCAAGCAAAATGTACTTGACCAGTATACATTCTTTTATTACAGAGCATATTTTTAAAATGATTATTTTTTGCATTAATTAAACCTTTGATTTGATCTTTTTCAGTTGTCAAAATGATTGCTTCACGTTTACGAGGGCATAGAATCATTCTTTTGAGTGTAAGCATGTACAATTTATTTATAAAGCATTTTTCAAGAAAAAAAACCTGTTGCTCAATATCATAAGATGAGACGCCACATATAAAAACAAATACAAAAAACAAAAATAAAAATAAATCTTCAGAGTGTTCAAACATTGCAACTTGTTACAATGTAAGATCAGAAAGATTTGGTCAGTAGACCACAAAGACCTGCTAGACCTGCTAGCTTTCCTGCTAAAAAAACGAATATTATTAGTTTGATTTTATTCCCGTAGGTAAAGGAAGGCTTACTGACTGTCATTATGACAATTCAAATTACACTTGGTGGATCATTTCTTTATTATATGTTATAACTGATGGTTAACGCAAATATCTAATCCGCCAATCATTTGGCAGCAACTCAAAGCATTTAGGCATGTAGACGGGATCGAGATGACCTGCTAAAGTTCAAACTGAGCATCAGAATGTGAAAGAAAGGCCTAACTCCATGGTATGGAGGCCTATCTCCCCCTACCACTCCCCCTGCCAGTGGCAGACGCCCTCAGACATCGGTGCATTGGTGATTCTTTGTGTCCGGGGATGGGCGTCCAGGTACCCACCGGCTCACTCCTGGTGGCTGCTTGTCCCCCACCCCCTTCGAGTGGGGTGCCCTCGGCCTCTCGGCCGGGGGCTCGGTCACTCTGGCACAGCTGGCTGCAACCCCCCCTGGCTTCTGCTCCGCGGCTGCTGAGCGACCCCTCATCTGGGGCTCTCCTCAGCTCTTTCCGGGATAGTGGTGCGGCTGCCCCTCTGTTGGTCTTCCTTGGTCTCTTTTGCTCTTGGGGCCTCTGGATGTCTGGAGCCTTTATCTCCTCCATACCTGCTTCATGCCCTGGAGGACGGGGCTGTGGCTCCCCACACCCTCTAGCAGATCATTACATGAAGGAACCTTTTAAATACAAGCTCACAGGTGTACACACGGGTGCTCACACACACAAACTACACCCTTTTTGGCTGCTACCTATATTCACATAGATCATCGCTATGATGTTGTTTATTATATTGCTCTCTTTTTCTTTGCTTGTTTTCTCTTTTTTCTTTCTCAACAGGTGATCCAGGTGATTGATATATGTACTTTTTGTCTGTTTGTTTTGTTGGTTTTTGGTTTTTGCCCTTTATCACCGTCCCTCTTCCCCGCTCTTTTTCTTTCCCTCTTTCTTTCTCCCTTTTCTTTTCCCCAGTCAAGTCTGTCCCGTGTTCAGCAAATGAAAATAAAATAAACAATAAAAGCAAAGGTGAATTAAATAGACCAATATGGCAAGGCTGGGATGGTCCATTTGGTAAAGTAAATCCGTCGGGCATCTTTCTTTGCCTTTAGACAACAATTCTGATGGCAAAAGAACCAAACGGGACAGGAAAGAAATAAAAAAGAATATGAAAGAAAGGCAATTTAGCAATTTAGGGAACTTTGATCGGCATGATTGCCGATGCCTGAGCTAATCTATATATTGCAGAAACTGCTGATCTGTCTCTAAGGTTTACAGAAAATGATCACCAAAGGAAAAAATAATTAGTGAGAAGCAGTTATCTGGGTGAAAATGCCTTGTTGATGTCAGAGGTCAGGGGAGAATTGCCGGACTGCTTCATGGAGATAGGAAAGTAATGGTAACTCAAATAATGGCTCATTAAGGCTGAGGTATGCAGAAGAGCTTCTCTGAATGCACAACATGTTGAACCTTGACCAAAATGGTCTACATCAGCGGAAGACCACACTGGGTTCCAACACTTTCAAGTAAGAACAGGAAACTGAGACTAAAAATTTTGGATGAATGCTGCCATCTAAGATGGCACAAAGCTCAAATCATTCCAAACTTGAAGTTGGCACTGTACTCAAATGGGCTCCAGTGTAATCAGATTTTGAGCCACCTTTGGGATGAAGTAGAATGGTAGATTACCATCATGCATGTGAAGCCAAAAAATCTCCATCAACTGTGGCATGCTATCATATTGACCAAAACCTTTGAGTATCTTGTCAAAGATACAAATATTTCAGAATGTTCTGAGTGCAAAAGCAAATCCAACCCAGTACTAGCCAGGTGCAGCTAGCACTGTAGCCTGCAGGGTGTCCAGTGAATGAAGTTTATTTGGACATTAAGCCACACTCCAAAATCTATGAATTGCCCGAAAAAGATACCAAAGTACCAAAAAAGGGAAGCACAAAAACAGTTAAGCTGAATTCCACTGCCTTATTTCAGTGATAAATGCAGCTTCACCTAACAATTTGTAAGAAAAACAGAACCCTTCAAAGATTACCTTTGGTGCAGTCTGGCTGGTACTTTTTCCATGACATATAAACTTTCTAAAGTACCCCTCTCTCTCTTTGTACCCACACTCACTCACTCATCCTTCACTTTGTGACTCTATCTGGTAATCTGTGCTGTTGATTTCAGAAATGGTTTTTACTCTCCTTTCTTTTCTGCTTTTCTTGAGGTTACTCAAAATAACATAACTATCAGTTGCTGGTTTCTGGGTTTGCCCGTCTGCTTTCTCAGTCACAAGTCCTCCATTTTTTCACCTTTCTGACAATAGCCCCCATCTGTGGAGGATGAAAGATTGAACTTAATATTGGTTTGGTGACTACAGTGGGATTCTTTGTACGAAGTAATAGCGCTCAACCCTTCCCTGCTGTACCTTTCTTTTCCATCTTAGCAGTTACTGCTAATGAACCAGTTCAAACTGGTGAAGTTCGTCATGTTTATCACTGACATGTTCCACATATCAGGATAAACTGGACAAATTGGAAATTAACCTGCATCGTCTAACATCTCAACGTGTATTTTTACGCTTTGTGGAGTGGAAATATGACTTATTTGGTTTGGTAGAAAATTATTTATTTATATTTTTAAATAGGCATCACATACCAGTTCGCCTATCTTTATGTTTTATGTAATAGCCTTATAAAACTCATGGTGATTTGTTAATAGTGTAATTGTCAAAACAATGGAAAACAACCTCACTGGGCACCGCTGCAGCTTTTCCTCTGTGCAAACATCTGTGGAATGACTCTGAGATCAAAGTTTGCAGCTGAATGTTTTTCTTCTCTCAGCTGGCAGAGTTTGACTAGTTCCCTAATAGAGACATTACAGCGTGTACAATCATTCAGTGCTTCACATTTTTCACACATAAATGACACACGTATGAGATACATACACACACAAAGGTCTCTTCTAGCATTAAAAAACTCACATTTTGTTCATCTAAAAGTTAAAATTTTAAATGTGTTTACATAATTTTTTTTTTTATAAAATTGCCTTTATGGTATTTTTAAACCAGAAATAATATAGATAACAGTGTGCAAACAAACAAGATGTATAGTCCTGATTTATGTACAGAATACGAATTAGAGACATGCTTATATTTAACAAAAGTCTTTGTTTCATATAAGGACGAGTACTATTTTTTTCTTCATTTATTGAGAGACGCAGATTCTAATTTATTAAAGACAAAAGAAAAAGACTGTAACTGGTGAAAGAGGTTTTCCTTTTTTTAAGTAACATCTTAATTTTGAAGCCAAGAAAAAAAGTGCAGAAGCAGATTTTCCCAATCATCCATAGTAAATGTTGTGTGGATATAAATGTCGTGTTACTTGTAAACCATGTGCAGAATAATCACAGCCACATGCCAGACATAGTTGTAAAAGTCATTCAGTCAGAAAAATAAAAGTGGACAGGAGCAAGCCACTGTTTCCTCAAATTTGGGAAAATACATTAATTAACCCTTTACATAGTTGAAATGACCTAATGCTCACTTTAGATAATCGTATAAACAACAGTGTTCAGTGTTACCGCACAAGGACATAAGCTCTCCTTCAAAGTTTGTCACTGACCTGCCTCTCTGCTCTAATGTTGGCCTGCACAGCCGGAGGCACATGCTGCTGCTCTTGTATCCTCTACTGTATCTATGCTTCTGTATACAGTATGCATGTTCGAGGAAGTCGCATGTATGTAGCCTGACTGCTCCACTGTGGACCCGGTGCCCTGGCAGTACAGTGGCCATGTTGGTGTGGGAGCCTGAGGCCTGCTCCCATACATCCCCGCTCTGGTTTTGTTGATCCTATTGTCTCCTGCGTCACCACACGTCGCCCGGCAAATAAAGGCCGTCTGGCTCCAAGCTTAAATATTGCAGCAAACTAAAAACCAACCATCAGAGCCGATTCATTCACATCTGCTCAGTGGGGCGACAAGGACAGGGCTTTAGGTGGGAAAGAGGGCAGAAAAAAGTTCACTTTTCCCTGCTGGGTGCCAAGAGAACGGGACAGGACTCAACTTCGCCGGAGCCGCAGCTGTGGCAAGTTGCCCATTTGATTCGATTTATTATACATTTCAGGAAAAAGGGACTTTATTTTTATTTAGTGATCTCTTTTTTATTGGTTTATTTAGATATACAGTGTGTTATAGTCTGATAGCTTAGCAAAAGTAAAAGCTTGTAGTATTCACATTTGTTAACTTTCGTTAGTCCAGTTCACGATGAGAATATGCAGCCATTAGTACAGTTAAATCAATGCCTAGCTTAAAGGTTATTTTCATATTTAAAATTACCAGCAAATTGCTGTTTGTTGTTTACTTTCATCTTTCTGTATATTTGTGAATGTGTGCGTACAAATCAAATTTACGATCAAATTCTGGCGTTTGTTTGATTTTTAAATGTTTGCAAGTTTTTTCCTCTCATGCATAGCTTACTTTTGGCACCCTCTTTTCCCCTCCCCCTGTTGGTCTCTGCCTACCCCACCCTCCCTGTCCATCTGCACCCTTCGTGTCCCTCCCTACCCCACCCTTCATTCTGCAGTGCTACGGACCGATCATGGGTGACTGGAGCTTTCTGGGTAATATTTTAGAGGAAGTCAACGAGCACTCTACGGTGATCGGCCGGGTGTGGCTCACGGTGCTCTTCATCTTTCGCATCCTCATCCTGGGCACAGCAGCAGAGTTTGTGTGGGGCGACGAGCAGTCTGATTATGTGTGCAACACACAGCAGCCTGGATGTGAGAATGTGTGCTACGACGAGGCCTTCCCCATCTCCCACATCCGCCTGTGGGTGCTGCAAATCATCTTTGTGTCCACGCCGTCTCTGGTGTACGTGGGTCACGCTGTCCACCATGTCCACATGGAGGAGAAACGCAAAGAGCGGGAGGAGGCAGAACTTAGCCGGCAACAGGAGCTGAGTGAGGAGCGTCTTCCTCTGGCACCTGACCAGGGAAGCGTCCGCACCACTAAGGAGACCAGTACGAAAGGAAGCAAGAAGTTCAGGCTGGAGGGCACCCTGTTGAGGACCTACATCTGCCACATCATCTTCAAGACACTGTTTGAAGTGGGCTTTGTGGTGGGCCAGTACTTTCTGTATGGCTTCCGCATCTTGCCGTTGTATAAATGCAGCCGCTGGCCCTGCCCCAACACGGTGGACTGCTTTGTGTCTCGCCCCACGGAGAAGACTGTCTTTATCATCTTCATGTTGGCTGTGGCCTGTGTCTCACTGTTCCTAAACTTTGTGGAGATCAGTCACTTGGGCCTGAAGAAGATTCGCTTTGTCTTTCGAAAGCCAGCCCCTGCTCCGGGGCCTTCCCAAGGCGAGGGGTTGGCCCCCCTGCCGCCACAAGGGAAGAGCCTGCCCCCCCTGGCTGTTCCCTCTCTGCAGAGAGCAAAAGGTTACAGGCTGCTGGAGGAGGAGAAAGCTCCCCCCATGACTCACCTCTACCCACTGGCTGAGGTGGGCATGGAGGCTGGCAGAGGGGCCCCACCCTTCCAGGGGTTGGAGGAGAAAGCGGAGGAAGTGCTGCCCATGGAGGACATCTCTAAGGTGTATGACGAGACTCTGCCCTCCTACGCCCAGACCACTGAGACAGGAGGGGTGACATTACACGAGGAAGAGGCTGAGGAGGTACAGCCGCCAGAGGCGGAAGCAGAGAGGGTGGATCTGGCTGCAGAAGAGGACATCGAGGTAGAGGAGGCGGTGAATGGGGAGGGGGCAACTCCAGCAGAGGCAGGAACGGAAGCTGCGGAAACGATAGAAGACAACAGGCCGCTGAGCCGACTGAGCAAAGCCAGCAGCAGGGCCAGGTCAGACGATCTCACCGTATGAACCTGTGAGACACCTGCACACACTAAAACGTTCAATGTGAAAGAGAGCACACACACCTATCTCAAGACAATGCACACTCTTGAACAGGCAGGTCAGAAACCAAATGTATGAAAAACAAAATCAACAGGGACTAAAACCTTTTAGGATTACCAAGTTACAAAAAACCCCAACAAAAACAAAAAACAAAAAAAATGTTTGTGATAACTATGAAATATTAAAAAAAGAGTAGATTAGAAAAACAGGAGTTTTTTTTTTTATTAAGCGTGTTCTTATATTTAAAAATATATTGAAAGGACACATGTGAGGGAGGATGTTTTTACTTGACGATCCTTGTTCAATTTTTAGAAACATCTTTTCTATTGAGAGACTTATAATAGTACATACTAGAGGGATAGACCTTTTTACACAGGGTTTGAGTAGATAGGGGAAAAGGGGGGTTATAATATACTTGTGTGTCTGCATTTCAGTTCTATCGCCATAGTTAGGCACCGACTTTCATTCCCATTCAGGCACCACATACTGCAAATGCAGCATGTTGCTGCAAGCCTTGCCAGCGAGAAGGCTCTCGCGTGGAAAATACACCTGACTAAATGTCGGCACATTAACGTGTAGCCTGCAAAGGTCTTTGTGAAGAAGCAGAACAAGTCCATTTTCAGGTTTTAGAAGAGCATTCCTCTTTTGCACATTCAGAGGTTTCAGCTCTATGCAAGGCCTTTAATCCTCACAACACCTCATCCATTGCATCCATGTACACAGGATTCTTTTGAGTAAACAGAGATGTGCATCAGTATTGGAGCGTTTCTCTCTTTTTCATGTTTATTTACCAGGTAGCGCAGCCAGAGCTGAGTAAGTCCGGAATAAAGAAAAAAGAAAAAGAAAAAACAGAAAAAAAGAGACCACATGTCGAATGTCTTTTTCAGTCCGCATTTCTTCTTTTTGAGATTTGCTTATGTTGTGTTGCCTTTAAGAGCGCTGCGTACTGTGATATCAACAGCCCGTGGAAGAGAGCAGAGCTTATTTTGCCCTATCAGAGAGTGAACTATAGCGGCGACCTCAAACCAAATCCTCTCTTTTCGTGCTATACAAACAAGCGTCCGGCCGATAAAGATCATGCACCATCAGCACAAAGTATTGTTGGAGGCGGGACAATAAAAGAAACCGTGCTCATCAATGAAAACAAGCATCCTTAACCTGGCTGTGGAGAAAAAAAATCTTTCTGCGTGGTTTTATCCGAGCACAGCAGAGAACATACCCCTTAAGAAAACACAATAGTTGTGATATGCTTATAAATACAGAGAGAAACAACTGTAGGGGAGGGGGGAGTCCAGCTGTACATAATGCCCTATCACATGCCTAATATTGTACATAGTGTGCAGCTGTTTTTAGTTATTTCACTGTCCACTGCAAACACACATTCTCATTGTGACAACACTAATAATTTAATCCCACAAGCCCACTGTAGACAGAAAATGCCCAGCAGCAGGATCATGCATCTATCTGAGTAAAGGAGACCCATTTCCTCACTATTACAAAGTGTGTTTAAGCCTTGGATTTATTAAAATCTTCTTTTTTACTCAAACCAATGCAACTGTGAGACTTCCAGTGCCTTTTCTGTAAGTGTTAATTATTGTAAGTGGTTTCATTGCTACGTAAACTTGATGTTTTACTTCCTTTTTTGTTTTTTATGATTGGTTTCATTTCTTTGTGACCCCTCTGTACACACAAACACCTCCACGTAACATCACGTCTCTGTAATATACCTACGACGATAATATAATGACTTTTATTTTAAACATGTTCAGATATAAGTGCATAAAGCTTCACGTTTGTGGACATTAACCCATTCATGCAAAATGAGCTGATGCTCAATCTGTGCCTCTATGCCACACATGTACATCTCACAGTGTTGGATTTGGGGGCACTTCACCTCCCATAATCCCATGTGGCAGAAACTGAGCCTTTAATGAACAGCCAAATTATTAAACACACATATAACAATGTTTTGCTCAAATATGCTGCTGGCTGTTTTGTACATCAATATGCTGGTATTGTATAGTTCTGTGTATTTTAAGACTGTTGCATTGCCTGTATGTTTGTAAGAATACATGATTAATCTTTGGAAAGGAGAAAAAAAATTCCTTTTTACTAACTTGTAGTCTTCTCTGCTGATAGATGTGTGGCTGTATCTTCTTTTGAAAAGTGAACCGACGCAATAAAAAGTCACACGTGGTCAAGACGTGTCGTGTCAGTGTTTCTCTGGGGAGCATGCACCCAATGACGCACACTGAGTGAAACAAGATACAACATCAAAACAGAAATAAGAGGAAGATAGAAACACAGAAGAATTCCAGTCCACCCCCTACACACTATAGATTTAGTAACTGTGTAGGGTGTAGTGGGTGGAGTAGTGGGCAGCGTGGGCTTAAGTTTCAGCTTGTAATATTTGGTGTAACACAGACTTGTGCTTTTTCCTTTATACTGACTAAATGAAAATCTAACATGAAAACTCTATTTATTGCACAGTTCAAAAGCCTGTTATTCAGTTCAGATTTTCCAGTTTTATATTATCATTTTGATTTGCCTTTTTAAAAAATAATAGATCAAAGACATTTGCCAATGCAGAAGCAGAAATATCAAACTGTGGACGTGCATATATTAATTAATAAAAAACAACAATGTATTTATCTTTTTCTTCTCCTTTCGGCTGCTCCGTTGAGGGGTCACCAGAACAGATCATTTGTCTCTCTCTCTATTTTACTCCTGCCTAACAGCTCCACAGTCCCTATATTCAAAGACCCTACCCCTCTGATTTCTCTCTTGCTGTGTCCAAACACACCTTCTCCCTCTCCTCCTCTTCCTCGGTCTTTGATCAACAGCGGCACAGCTATCCATGCTGGTCAACAGCACTGGTGGCAATTGCCCTTTCTTGGGGGCCTGCATTGGGCTTTGGCCTCCCGTGGAGGTGTTAAAACAAAATTATTATAATGCAGAACTTTCTATTTCAGAATGACACTTATTAAACCATTAGGCTGTATCTTAACACTTTATTTTTGCAGATGTTATGATTAACTAAAATATTTAAAAATGATCAGATGTAGTGGAGATTGTATACGATTGTAATGTAAGTATATAGGAGTATGTTAACGTTGCACTATGGTAAAAATGGCAAATGGCCTGTATTTGTACAGCGCTTTACTAGTCCCTAAGGACCCCAAAACGCTTTACACATCCAGTCATCCACACACACATTCACACACTGGTGATGGCAAGCTACATTGTAGCCACAGCCACCCTGGGGCGCACTGACAGAGGCGAGGCTGCAGAACACTGGTGCCACCGGGCCCTCTGACCACCACCAGTAGGCAATGGGTGAAGTGTCTTGCCCAAGGACACAACGACCGAGACCTATACTCAAGTACATAGAATTAATTTCACCCATGACTACTTGCCATCCTCCCAGGTATTTGAGGAACTAGGAACAACATGACCCTAGAGTCTGCGACAGACAGAAAAGAGAAGCAATCACTATCAGATCTTAGAGTAACTGTTTCCCATTTTTACTTAATCTTCTTCTTTCTGGACGAGCAGAATACAATCATTCATTGTTCACAGTTTTTAATTGTCTCTAAGTTAAACTTGATTTAACCAGTCAAGTGATGAAAGGCTGTGAGGCACCACTAAGGGGCAGTATTGTTAAAATTAATTTTAGTCCACATGCCTGTTCTATGGCATAATTTTGCATGTGGTAATCTGAAGATCATGGCTTTCTGTCTACATTTTTATACTATTATTTGTCATAAACAAAATCTCTAACATCAAACAAACTTTAGATGAGGATTAACAGAAAATTCCATTTCAGAGAAACTTTTGTTCCCTCTACATCTTGCGGCCTCTTGGGCTTCCTCTTGAGTTAAGATATAGATCTTGTGGTATCACCATATCCTGTACACTTATTTTGCAAAGTTCAAAGTTGTATTAAGATAAAAATGAGGGGCTGAGGAAAGCCAAGTGAGACAGTCATAGCATATTATTATTTTACTACTTTAAAAACAACCATGTAGTTCCACAGTGTTTTTCTTCAGTCAAGTGCAGTAAAAATGCCATAGCAACACAAGTTTGTTGCCATGCCATTTTACAGTAATATGCATGGTGGATCACCACAAATGGTTAGTTAGGTTTATATGAGCAGGCAGAGCAGCTTTTAGCTAAAAAAAAGAAATTAGGCCACATAACAATTTACAATTCAGTTTTATTTATATAGCATTAAATTAAAACAGCATTTTAAATACATCAGGAACAACAGAGTTTTAAAACTGCAAGCGAAGTGCTCTAATGAAGGGATATGGTAATATAAGGTCATTAATCTAAGATAGGGCCTGATTATTACAGACAGGTGACTTTTATTTGGCATTTCAACCATGTGCAGTGGTACAGTACAGAGTGAAACGAGACAACGTTCCTTCCTGGTGCTACATATGACATATAACAGATGAACACAGGACTACGTAAAATGCAAAAGGGCAAAACAGTGGAAGACCGGATGGAACAGGACGATACAGACACAAGACAGTGCAATGGAAGTGTGCAAAATGCTATTCTATTGTGCAAAACGAGTGAGTATTGTGCAAAAAGTAGCTTGGTGTCTGAAGGTGTGCATGTGAAGCTTGGGCTTCAAGATGGTGCCAGTGTGTACGGCTTGCGGTCTTATTCTGTTTGTACTAGTGTTTTATTTTTACTTTGTTTTAAAACATGCTAACTCTCTGCTTGTATATGATCGTCAAATTCTGCTGGCTATAAGATCCTCTCAGTTAAAAACTCTTTATTGCAATCGTGGATATCAGGGAACCTTTTCCCCACCACTCCTGTCAGGAGTTCCAGCTTGTCTCCGTTGCGTTCCGGCGCTACCTCAACTGAGAGGGCGCCGTAGACGCCGTGGGAAACGCAGTGGCTTATTGGTGAGAATGAAGGCAACCTGGACACGATTTCGAAAAATACCTCACCCTACCCCGACTGGATTTGACCGCGTCAACTACTGGCACTCTTTGGACACGGCTTACACCTGCCTGACACCTGTTGTCGGGCTTACGACAATAACCCCGCACCAGCGTCCCCCCCGTCTTCGCGCAGGTGGAGTAAACCCTCAGAATCTACGGCCGATAGGTCGGGCACCCACATCGGCTGCTGAGCCACCTGTACCACTGAGATTAAGTCTCGTTAATGCACGATTGCTAGCAAATAAAACTTTTATTCTTAAGGACTTTTACCAATCGGGAGCTGGATCTAATGCTTTTAACGGAAACTTGGCAGAGAGTCGGTGAGTCCAGTTGTTTTACTGAACTTTTACCGCATGACTGTGAGTATCTTAATGTGCCGAGGATGACTGGGCGTGGTGGTGGAGTGGCAGCTGTTTTTAGGAAGAAGCTCTCTTGCAAACAACTCTTAACTGACTCATATTCTAGTTTTGAACTTCTGGCGTTTGAATTGGGGAATCCCCGCCCGACACTCGTTGCAGCTGTATACAGACCTCCAAAATATCACAAGGATTTTATCCAAGACTTTTCAAACTTCTTAGCTGGAACTGTGCCAAGCTACGATCTTAATCGTTGGAGATTTTAATATTCACGTGTCCCTCCAATTTGCTGGCCAGAGACTTTTTAAGCTTGATAGACTCCTTCAGTCTTGCTCAACTTGTGTCTGGGCCAACCCAGAAACAGGGTCATACATTGGATCTTGTGCTGTCTCTAGGGTTACCGGTCCTAAACATGGAAATATGTGATGCTGTTTTTTCTGATCACTGCCCTGTTGTGTTTGACATACTTTTATCTCTCTGCCATTTTACACCTCTTATTTCAACACGTCGTTGTCGTGTTTTTAACCCATCTACAACAGAACAATTTTCTATTGCTTTTAAAAAAGTTTTAAGATCTCCCCTTGGCTTTGGCAGCAAATTGAAAAATGGATGAGTGGAGTCACCTGTAATCCAGAGGGTGGGTTCAGTAGATGTCCTGGAGGGAGGGAAGAGATGTACCCATGATCCTCTTCGCTGCTCTCATTACTGACTTTTCCTGGCAGGACTGTGTTCAGGAGCCATAACACACAGTGATGCAGCTTGTGAGTGTACTCTCAACGGTGCCTCTGTATAAGGTGCTCATAATGGGGGTTGAGGCTCTTGCACACCTCAGTTTGTAGAGAAAGTAAAGTAAGAGCTAATAATAGCTAATATTAACATTTCTCTGAAAGAAATTTCCAAGTGTGGAATGTTTTGTTTTAGTGAAGGTAAACGAACCGCAACATTTCTAAAACTCATGTGTGTGTGTAATGCCTGAAAACATGAGACAGGCTGTGAACTACGACTCACTGAGGTTGAACAATCCACAACCCCTCACAAACAACAACAACAACAAAAACCACGCATTCATCACAAAGACAAAAAATGCCTAAAGTAAAACACAATCATAAAACAAACAGACAACAAACAGCCATAACATTGCTTAAGTGTCTGAAAGCTCTGCTACAGGAAGATGTGTCAGAATGTCAAACAACTGATCCAAAATGACAGCGTGATATAAATGTGAGCAAGTGGTGCCTGGATATGTTAGTGTGTGTCTCTGACAGATAAAAATAGCACTGTCTAGGGTCAGAGATTCCAGTAATTTATGCCTCAGAGGTCCAAATATATGAGTCACATGGATTGTGGGTAAAAGTACTTGCTCTCACTGCACTTTGCAGATGTTTTCAGTTTTTGGAGACTGCCTTCTTCCCGAAACCTGGGTGAACTACTATTTACTATTTACTACTTTATTATAAATTATTATTGTTAAACAGATAGGGTTTGCTCAACTGTAGCTTGGAACATTATTTTCAAACTCAAGGGAATCTTTTTCATATCTTGCACTCTTTTATGTTTGACTTTTTACTGCCTACAATGCCAAGTAAGAGCACAAAGTTGTGACTGCTGAAAGGGGTTTCATTACAGTGTTCCTCTTCCTAGTTTCAAGTGGACTTTTATGCATTTTTAAAAATGACAGACGAAGCAAATACATGCCATGCGATCTGTAGCCTCTCGCTGTGGTGTTGGTATAAGTAGAACATTGCAATAAAGGGTTGTAAGCGACTACAGCATGTACTCTCAGAGCATCTCCTGCAACTTTCAAAGGCCAACCAAACAAATATGAGCATATCTCTCACATGGCCACAGATCAAAGTTTTTCACTTCCTGCGTGGAACCGTATCTGTGGTATTGTGAAAGAACGACAGCGAGGCTGTATCTTAACGCTATGCACGTATGCCCCCGTAGAAGCTGTGCCTTCTAATTACTATAGCTATTAGATATTGCTTTTTCTTGCTTTTGCGACCTTAAAGCTGTTGTCGTATTGAGATAAGGACCAAACAGCATATGGCAATCAATACTGGTAAGAGAATTGCTGTTTATTACTCTCAAGGATATTACATTTCAAATCTAATTGAAGCTCTCGTAGTAAAAGATGCAAATAAACTACCAGTTAGAAATATTCGCCGATCATCCAGCACATACTGAAAATATGTTTCTAAATTATCTTTCCTTCATGTTGCTATGGAAGACTTTTCAAGATATTTGGGCATCAACTGGACCTTGACTCTGATATGGTGCTTCTTCTATATTTTCTTGCAAGCAGGTAAAATAAATTTGAACTCTCTCTGACAATGTGCAGAGCAATATGTGACCCATAGAACAGCAACGATAAGCTGAATATGTGGGTGAGTTATAGTTGTAGCTTTTTGCTGGCAAGGTTGATTTTCAGTTCAGTTACGACAGCTTTAATCGGCAGAAGACTGCTACTTAAACTTTAATGCACTACTTTTTGTGGCTTTGCTCCCTACACTTTGAAATGCAAACATGACTATGTTTAAGTTACTTAATCTCTATAATTAACAAAAATATTACGCTAGCAATGTATGTACAGTTTAAATGATTTGCAAATCAATTAATTGTCTTTTTATAGACATTTTGAGCTGTGTTCAGATTTTTTGAGGAATAGTTTTATTTTCCTGTTGCTTTAGTATTCAAAAGTTTCCAGCAAACACAAAACCTACAATATGATTTTCTTTTTTATCAGAAACACACAGGATCTCACAGACAGCTGGGAGCACAGTGACCCTGAACTGCAGCAATGACTCAATTAGCAACTTAACTCAACTGGCGTGGAAAATGAATGGGGAGATTCTGTTCACTATCAGGACAGACAAAACCTTAAACAGCAGCTCAAATGACTCAAAGGTCAGATTTGTAACGTCCTCTAAAGCTGAGAGCCTGAAGCTGAACATGTCCATGTTAAAGAGCCAACTATATGCATTAACCATAACGAGAGCCCAGAGGTGGCACACGGGAAACTATACTTGTGAATTCTCCGCATCAAAGGGAGTCGGGGAAAAGAAATGGGAGCTCGTAATTACAGGTGAATTACTCATTTTGAAGTTTACAGGTCACATAAAAACACAAGCATTCCTTAAACACCTGAAGTAACAACAAGAGAAATTATTTATCATGACTGAGGGGGTAGTCAAGCTATGGAAACAGGAAGAAGGGGGCAATAACGACACTTTCCATATCAACTTCTCTCTCTCTCTCTCTCTCTCTTTGTATCAAAGACAAAAGTTGGGACTGCCAGTGGTTTGGAAGCTTTTAGGGTGGAGTAGGTGAAAGTTGAGTTTCCCCTACCACTGCTTAAATGTTATTCTAGGGGAAAGTCAGACACTGAAAGTTGCCTCTGTGTTCAAACACAAAAGAGGCGAAGACATCTGGCTTCACTTGCATTGCCTTTATATTTGTGTTTCTTACAACTCTAGACATTTTGTGGTTAGATTGGTTTAACGTAAAATTTATTTTCTGTAAAGCTTGCAGGTTTCGGACTTTGACACAAAGAAGAATTATGAATAGGAACATGTTTTGAGAGGCTGAGGTCTTTAGAGAGACCACAGGGGAAGTGTAAGCAGTGCTAACTTCCTTTCTGCAGGTCTAAAACAGACTAGAAAACTCATACTGGTCTTCCAGTGCATAAAAATATATTAGATCACCCAATGTAGGGTTTATAACACATCACTAACAGAATAATTTTTTATGTTTCTGCAATGGTTAATAGGCTTAAAACATGGGCATAAAAACATCCAAAAGAAAGGCTCATAAGAATATAATCTTAAAATGAGTTTCTGACAGAGTTCTAAAATATTTGTCTTTAACAGTTTTTAGGATAGGTGGTCTAATAGATTTGTTAAACACTGTACATGGAAGTGAAAAAAGTTAACTGAACATTAGAACTGCAGTGAAACAAGTCCGTTTTTTTATTTTACAGAGGATGCTGAAGCAGGAAATCAATCGAAAATCCCACTTGCCATAGCCGTTATTGTACCTTGTACATGTTTCCTGATCTTTCTAATTACTATTGTGATCATTCAGAGAAAAGTCTGCAAACGACGTTCACGGTAAGTTGCCTGCAGTCACTGCTTTTAAACAGTTTTATGCTAAATGTATTACACTGCTAGGATTAAAAACAACATGTCTCTCTCTCTTTTTATAGCTCTCGTTCTCCCGCTTCAATAATGGTAAATATAATAATTTTTATATTGTCTGTTGAGAAGCAACAAGCAACCAGTCTGTTTCTATGCAAGATCAAGCTGGTCCACTACCTTTTCCACTTTAGGTATTACTAAACATCTGGACATGTTTAGTGGTGCCGAAACATCTGAATTTGGTTTTCTTCCCATGTTTTTGTGCAACAGGAGCAGAAAGAAGATATTTATGAAAACTGCCTGGAACTTGAAAATCGCCGACGTAGTCAAATTCAGGTTCAACCTTACAAATACAGAGTTCAATGATATGGACCACACAAAAGACTCAACTTTTTATAGCAACAGATTTAAACAGCTTTCTTACATGTAATTTAATAATAAAAACAAATATAAAATGTACTTAAAGCTGCATTTTTCTTGGCTACTTGAACTTCTGTCAGTTTATAAATAAGTCAGCAGTTTACACATTTGCCATTTCAATAAGGAGAGATCGTTCGGAAGAACTGATCTCTATGATATACTGAGATAGAGAAATGGATTGATGTATCTGGTGACTGAACTATGGTCCCAATGGTGATCGGATTTAAGACAAACCCCATCTGGAGTCGTAGTGCTGATGGTGGTGAAAATGAAGATTATGGCTCTGAGTGACTCAGCAAGGTGGAAATGGGGAGGAGGTGGGTTGCACGTATGAGACTCTGAAAGTGTAAGTAACAGACCATTGAGATTTAAACTCTGCAGAGTGGAAGCTGATTGGCTCAAAGAAGGCGGTTAAGAAGATGATTGGACTGCTATAAGGATGTTAGTATTGAGATTAACAGCGTGGGAATGTAGCAGTAATGCAAAGAGTTCCAATAGTGGTTTACGTCCTGGAGCTCTTCCTTGGATGTCAGTTGTGCCGAGTCTCTTTTGTATTGTTCAATCTCAACACCTGGGTTCTGGGTTCTTCATTTGGATGAGTCACTGTTTACTCTTGGAATAATTTGGGTCTGACCACTGCTGGGAAATTTCACTGTTACCTGTATTTTTGTACACAGTAGCTCTCACTGTGGTTTGCTGGAGTCCCCAGGCCTTAGAGATAGTTTTGCAACGCCTTCAAAACAGATAGCAGCCTGGAAAGAGTAGAGTGTCAGTAAATTCAATGTCGTCTGACATGAACTTGTCTGGTGAAATAAAACCCAGATTTATAAAAACTGCATTTAACCACATTTCGTTCATGATTTAACAAGGGCAGCAATTGCTTTTTCACACAGGGTCAGGTAGCTTTTCTTAATTAACAACTGAAATCGTCATTTAATAACTGCATTTTACATTCACACTTCACTCTGAAACATGTAATGGTGAGAAATATGCAAAACACTAAGAAATCAGGAAGGGGGTGACTTGCACACGCACTGACCTCATTGTCTTAAACTTTTACCACTTTTAATATCCTCCATTAGTCATGTGTTGCAATAAGGAAAAGCATAATTGGTCCACATTAAATATCTTACTAGATCACAGGAGTGTACTATGAAGTAAGTTGTATGCACTTAATGTATTTCAGGCTTTCTGCGTGCTAGCTGACTAGACTCCACCTAAGATCGTAGTCAGAGATAATTGGTATCATGATGGTGGTTATCAACTGTCTTTGTTAAACCTTCTGACCAACTGACAGCCTCTTGACTGAGTCAGAGACCTGGGTGACAATCCACAAAGAATAGAAAAAAATAAAATGAATAATACGATAATAATGATAATGATACAATGCTGGCGGAGAGTGCTTCTTCACCCCTCTGTAGTGCTGCAGGAAATTGTGCTGTGGTTTATGTTTAATGTGACAAACAGCTGTACATTTGAGGTGTTAAACTTTAAACTTGATGCAGTTTTTTATTTAACCTTTACTTATATAGGTAGTCCCACTGAGACTCTGTGTCTCATTTACAAGAGAGATTTGTCTGTTTCAGACAAATATTTTAAACTTACAGCAATAATAAAATAGCAATAAAATAACAACAATAAAAATTGACTACTGTCAGTCCTTCTGCAACGTATTCCATGAAGACGAGGCAGAAAAGGAAACTCCAACATCCAACAACTGAATGTAATGAAGTCCTAAGACCACAGGCTATGGCCAAAATGTTCATGTATCACGTAATCTGAGAAATAAGAGGGGACTAAACCACAAATATCGTGGTTTATCGTTAAACATTACAGGCTACTCAGTGCATTCATGTCTGAATACCCATAATTACAATTCATAGTACTCTAGTACACAGGACTGGCTTCTAAGGCTACGTTCACACTGCAGGCGAAAGCGCATCAAATCCGATTTTTTTGACCCTATGCGACCCATATCCGATCATGGTGTGACAGTGTGAACGGCACAAATCCGATATTTTCAAATCCGATCTGGGTCACTTTCGTATGTGGTACTGAATCCGATACATATCCGATGTTTCAGAAAGCGACTGCTGTGTGAACGGTCAAGTCGCATTAAATCCGTCTTTTACGTCACTGACACAAGACAGACGCCAATTATCAGCCAGAGAAGCGCCCGAGAAGACATCGCGAACGCTTCCTGGCCATCCGGTGAGAACTGCTGGGAAGACAACGTTGGAGAAACGTGAACATTTTATTTGTACTGCATAACTGCAGATTCTGACAGAAATCTGCAACTATCCTTTGAAGCACCGCTCCTCTAAAACAGCAATAAGGATCATTATTAGGTTATTTACATTATTATGTAAATAACAAAATAACTTAAAGCAAAAATTGGGAAACATGAAGTCCGAAGTCTTTATATTAAGGGCCATCAGTCAAACAATATAGTTTGCTCTGGGTCTAAACAGAGCGCGTTGTGTGTGACGTCTTCTTTTGCGCATGCGGGCCGCTTTGAGCGTTCACACTAGAGCGCGTTTGCTGTCGCATTTTATTTGTAGTGTGAACAAGCAGACAAAAAAATCGGATTTGATCAAAAAATCGGAATTGAGCATTAAGACCTGCAGTGTGAACATAGCCTAAAAGAAGGCTTCTTTCGGTCCATGCTTTGATGTGTTTAGCCATCACTACAGAGTAAGACAGTTTATCTAACAAAAATCAGAGTCTCTGGGGCATTCAAAACGGACTGGTGATCACAGGGAGGGAGAGGCAGCCGAAGCATCTGCATTTGCATTTTAACTTCCTACCTTGTAAACTATGTGACAATGGTATGCTGACAGTGTTAATGCTCTGTGCTACACACATGCTGAAGACATGGGTAGATTGCCTTAAGTTTCACTAAATGCTCTCAGTAAGCGCTCATGGTCTGTAAAGACAGTGAAAGGGCAGCCATACAGGTGCTGATGAAAACACTTTACAGCAAAGACTACTACTAATCCTTCCTTCTATAGCTGTGAATAGCCCTTTTCCGCTGCTGTAAGGGTACGTGACATACCCCACGTCAGGGGTGTCCAACTCCAGGTCTCGAGGGCCGGTGTCCTGCAGGGTTTAGATCTCACCCTGGGTCAACACACCTGAATCAAATGATAAGTTCATTACCAGGCCTTAGGTGAACTTCAAGACATATTGAGGAGGTCATTTAGCCGTTTAAAGCAGCTGTGTTGGATCAAGGACACATCTAAAACCTCGAGGCCTGGATGCTTTTCTGCCCCTTTGTCCATGCAGTGTGAAAGAACAGCTTCTACACCATACAGAGAGGCATCGCAGGACATGATAACACACTTCTGTGGATCAAAATGCACGAGGAGTGGTGCAGAGCGTAACGGTTGCGTTACCTGCTGGAATGCCTTCTTATGAGCTTGGTACCACCTCCAAGGACTGTCTGTGCAGTAACCCATAGAGCGGTTGAGCACTGCGGAGAGGTCAGGCAAAAACTACATTTGACCAAACAAGGACACTTTGTTTTCTGCGCTAACCTGTCATTTCTCAGATATCAGCCAATTTGCTGGCAGATGCAATAAAATAATAATAATAATAATAATGATGATGATGATAATCTCTCTTCTCGTTACTTCTTATCGAGAAGAGAGAAAGACCTAACTCATGGAGAGGACACGCACAAAGACTAAGCTCACTGGGAGGAGCTTGATGACAAAGTGTACAAAAGAACATGCCTGACAGTGGTCAATTTTGACATTGATATGTTTTTTTTGATAAAGTTTCTTTTAAATTGCAATGTATGCTCATAATACAGCTGATACACTCCTCATTAAAAGGATACAAGCATAAACCCCATGGTGTGAAGGGTTAACTAAGACGGATAGAGCTGAGTGTTGATGGTAAACACTTACAGAACACAGTATCAGACAGGAAGGGCTGATTGGCCTTGGGTGTATGATAACAGGGTGCTGTAGTCAACAAGAAATGGAAACTTCCTTGTGTCACTTGAAGCTGACTTTAGCATGAAAATAAGATGTCTGATCCCTGACTGGAAGTTAATAACTGTTGCCATGAGAAAAGACCCTGAGGAGAATAAATCAGGGGGCACTAAGTGTTAACCACCACATCTCCCCATCAATAGCCAATCACAATTATTTCCTGTTTTCATGTGTCTAATATATACTTGGAATTATGAATTGTATTTCATTCTCCGTGTGCAGACTGCCTGACACTGAGAAGTCCACAGCTGTGCTGTGAAAATCTTTAACTGCCTGATAATAAAATAGTGTGAACTGCTAGACTGTCTTCTGAACTTCTCTTAGTGAAACAGAACGCAACAGTGACAACATCCTTTGATCCTTTGACAACATCCTTTGATGCACACGAACGACTCCTTTACACAAACCCAGAGCCTGGACTTATAGATCATAAGCTCCCATTACATTGAAAAAAAGACAAGCCTTCTCTGTTGCATGAGCTGAGACAAAAAGGAGAAACAACTGAGACCAGTTGTGTATCATTTTGCCTTGAAATAGGTACAAATCATAACCATATGAATGGGTCAGTAACAGTAACACCACGTGTAACATTTTAATTTGATTCATATGCTTTGTATGAGCTAAAAATGCAGCACAGGGCAAGTGAGAGAGGAAACTTTATTTACAGCAACACAAACCAGTCATATCAGGAGCATGACGCAATCAACTCTACTCTCATATTTTTAAAAGTTTATGTTGCAAAGGGAAGAAAAGTACATTAAGCAGTAATTGTGAGTAAACTGGAACTGAAATAAATCGTTACAAGATGCAGTGGGTATTCACTAAATGTAAACCAATCGAGCATATTTGATTTAATAATCCTTCATTAAGGTGTTTATTTGATTTGGATGGATTCTATTAAAAGTAAATGTGTAGAAGTTGCGTGTGTCTGGAGTTGATGGCAGTTTCTTGCTCTTTTGTGTTGTTCATCTTGATAGACGTCCTTCTGGGCAGATGAGGAGATGAGATAATGGTTCAGTGGCGAGCCTGTGTGTGATTCAT